CTCCAAGTACCGCCTTAGCACAATGAGGTTTCGATGCCGCCCCCCGGAAGTCAGTGCAGGGTTGCTTTCCCTTCGACGCGGGCCCTGAACTCTAACCTCTAAACCGTCTAAACCAGTTTCGCAAAGCCTAAACCCTAAACCCAAAACCCAAAACCCTAAACCCTAAACGCTAAACCGGCTCAATGCAGAGAGTCTCTCATGCTTGATGGAAAGCAGCCTCGCAATTCTCTGACGGCGTGCATGAAACGAGATGACCGAGGAACGATCGGAACAAAACGATGGCCGAAGAAGGAGGAAAGTACTGACTATTTCATCAGTCTCTGTACTGTTTGTGACCGATCTGCGTATGGTGCCTATGTTGGAATTTCCCAAAATAAGGGTACCCCTGTCGTACCCCAAATAAGAATAGAATCCCTTTAACGAGACCCCCAAAGGGGGTACCCCTATTTTCGGAAAACCCCCCCCTAGCATAACTACAACACAAACCCGTATATTACCACGACCCTTGGGGAAGGTCCCTATTTAAGAGAGCAAGAGGAAGGGTTAAGAAGGGATCCCTGTCGCTAAGCCCTAAACACTAAACCCTAAAACCTAAACCCTGAACCCTGAACCCTAACCCATAAACCCTAAACCCTAAACTCTAACCCTAAACCCTAAACCCTCAACCCTTTGAAAGGTCCCCCTTATCCTACCTAGGATAGGCCATCCTTTGCTGCAAGTACACCTTGGAGGCTCTTTTCTTGGTAGCCCAGTAGCCATCTGCTAATAAGGGTATGGCTTTTTGGCTGGTTACTTTAGAAGGGAACCCAGAACCAACACAAAAAGGGGGTTTAGGGTTTGGGGCTTATGGTTTAGGGTTTAGGGCTCAGCAGCTCACGTACTAGCTTTCACTAGTCAAGCAGCTTTTCAAACGACAGGAAAATATCCACCCACCCAATCCCCAAACATGAAGAAATGTAAAGCTTACATTTTTTCATCAGCAAGCCCTGTCCCCCAACCTCACTCTGTCATGGGGAGGCCCATCCCACCTTCGAACCCTAAACGCGAGGGCCTTGAGGCCCTGAAACCCTAAACCTCAGGCCTTGAGGCCCCTGAAACCCTAAACTTCAGGCCTTGAGGCCCTGGAGCCCAATTCTGTGTCTGCAAACAGTCCACGCTTGACAGAGAAGGCTTTCCGCAGCGCTTGTAGTTGCTGATCACCCATGGCCGGGTTCGCAGTGTCTCCTATTCGATCCTATATTCCTCGAGCAGAAATCTCGTGCAAGGACTTCGAGTTTTGGAAGGCCTCAAGCATTTTCTTGGTTTAGAGATAAGGGTTTAGGGTTTCCTAAGGTTTAGGGTTTAGGGTTTAGGGTTTAGGGTTTAGGGTTTTGTGTTTTGGTTTAGGGCTTTGGGCTTTGGGTTAACTTAGGGTTTAGGGTTTCGGGTCTAGGGTTAGGTGCAGTAAGGATTGGGTGCAAGGCAAACTCGGGCCTGAGTCTTTCCTGCGCGAACCACTGGGTTGGAAGGCGCAGCCTCCGGCCACGGAAAAGCACAAGCACGATTCCGAACCTAAGCTGCGTAAGAATTACTACACCGTTTCGCTTCAAGGTACTAGAAATTCATTCAAATTCTTGAACTTCAATCCTGCCAGAGATCTGGAAATCCAGACCTTTCACAGGCCTATTTAGGCATTGGAATCCTTACGATGTGAAGCCAGACTTTCAGGATTCCTATGTAGTTTAGACAACAATGTCTGTATTTCTTGTGGATTGGTTCCTGTTGAATCAAGGATTTCCAGTTGAATTGAGCATAACCGCAGCTTGAACACCTGCAAAGAATCTAGCGATGTCTTGACTCTCAATCCAAGAGGACTTTGTTGGCTCCCGCTTGAATCCACGACCACAGGAATCCCAAAACATCTTGATTTCCGGTTCAATAGCAACTGCTTGGCTGAACCCAAGACGAACCCGGAAACATATTCGTTTGCAATTCAATAGAAAGCCTCTCCTTGTTCCTGCTTGGACATCATTGGAAATTGATTTCAATAAGAATACGTTGGCTCCTGTTAGAACCCAGAAAGCAAACCAGGGATATCTTCATTTTCCGATTCAATAGAAATCCCCTTGGCCCTATATACGACGAAGCCAGTAAGCCAGGGATTCTTATTTAGATCCAGAAGGAGCCCTCTGGCTTCCAGATTGAAAGTCAATAAGATCAATAAGAACCCAAGTAGTTTTGCGTGCACTACGACGACCTCTTTCTGCTCCCTTCAAATCCGGGAGGAATCAGGCCTTGTTAAGAACTTGCAGCTCTTGGATCAAGTCCCTTGGAGGCGGAGGCTGGCGCTTCCGACATACGCTTTACAATGAGAACGCAAGCCCATCCGCCTCGAAAGACGATGAAATCGCAGATTTCATTCGTCGGAGGAACTGCACGTTGCCTCAACAAAGCTGGATCTGCTTGAAAATTCCTGCTACGATAGCATGCAAGGCATGGCGCGAGAGACCGCGCGCAAACACCGCACAAGCAGCGCAAGAAAAATCGAGAGTAACAACGCAAGAAGAAACGTGAGTAACACCGCAAGAAAGCTTCACGCGAAGCACAAAAGCATCGGTTTTTTAGTGCCATTTTGACGGGTGAAACTTGAACATGTTCTTTCCCTGCGCTACAAGTTGTGCTTGTTACGACCGCTACACTGTGAAGCCTCAGGCAAAAGCACGCACACGGTCCCCACTTCTCCTTTTAGCCAGCCATGAAGGAAGCAAGCAAGCTTGGATCGCAGCTTAGCATGTACCGGCGGCGACAGGCCCCCTCAGCGCAGCAGAGTCTCCCAAGGCAAGGCACTTGCGGGCCCCAGTTCACGGACTCCAACTCAAGAGCACCTGCTAGCTTCTCTCGGGAAACGCAGAATGAGCAGCGGATGACAGTGGATGACTTGCTGGCACACAGAAAGGGCGCCTTCTAGAACATGTAGGAGGCCAGGGCCACGCAAAAGCCAAGCTTCGCGGCGGGCGCTGTGGTGATAACCACGGGAAAACAGGAAAGGGTCTTGAGCCTGCTGAATCATACTGCGCACGCATGACGAACCACTGGCAACGGCAGCGCGAAAGCAAAGCGTCCAAACCCCCACCTACACTCTTGCGGCAGTAGTTGCGGAACTAACGGTGTTACCAACGGAAGCTCGCGGAGTTACCAAAACAAGTTGCGGTGTTACTGTGAACGCTGGCATGGCATGCCCTCCTCAGCAAAGCTCCGAGGGCCGCACCCTCTGCCCTCCGTTCCGAAAGGATCAAAGTTAAAGAATCCAAGGCACGGTGCGGAGAGGCGGGCATCAAAAAGGGCATGCCTGACTTAGAAGTGGAGAGCCGAAGAGACAGCGAGTGCAGCGATCAGTGTGGCTTATAAAGAATCCAAGGCGCCCTGCAGCGCAAAGCCTTCGGGAGGCGCTAAACTCTAAACCCTACCTAAACTCTAAACCCTAGGCCCTAAACCCTAAAATCAATTGGGTTTTCAACAATCGGTGCCTCGCGCCGGGCTGGGTGTCATCGGCGACGCCGAACCCACATGCAGCGGCATGATGGGCCCTTGCACCCCGAAACTCGCAGGGCCAGGCAGGTAAGCAGTGTGCAACATAAAGAGCGCAAGCCATGCCTGCTGGGCTCGACCCATTGTACGGCGGGGTCAACACCACCATATTGCCCACGTCGGACGGGATCCTCAAAGCTGCCTTATAGAGCCGATCGATAGGTAGCTGCATGCATGTTAATTGACTACTGGAATATACGTTTTGTGGCCCATGGGGCTCACCACCCATGACATCGGCGACTCCACCGGGCTCTCACAACCTGACAAAAATTCGTGGGCAAGGTCCAAAAACTCGTGGGCAAGGCGTTTTTTTCATGGGCAAGGCCCAAAATAGGCCAAATGGACCTTGCCCACGAATTTCTGGACCTTGCCCACGAATTTTGGACCTTGCCACGATTTTTTGGACCTTGCCCACGATTTTTTGGACCTTGCCCACGAATACCATTAAGGTTTAAATATACCTATGATATGGAGGTTGTTTAGGGCTTAGGGTTTAGGATTTAGGGTTTAGGGTTTAAGGTTTAGGGTTTAGGGTTTAGGTTTGGGGCACCACTGGGCTACCAAGTTTTGCTCCTTTTTCGAAGACTACGATACAGCGATCTGCACGCTGGCGAGCAGAAGGCGTCCGGGCCCACACCGCAATACCCCAGCAACTGTTTAGGGTTTAGGGAGGGTTTGGTTTAGGGTTTAGGGTTTAGGGTTTAGGGCTTAGGGTTTAGGGTTCAGGGTTTAGGGCTGACAGCCTTAAGGACCAAATGAACCCCAAAAGGGTTTATGGTTCATACAATGGGATGTTCCCCCTTGTACAACCAGTCCTGAATGGGGGCTATAATAGGGGGGAACTATAATCCCTAGTACGGGTTTAGGGTTTAGGGTTTAGGATTTAGGGTTTAGGGTTTAGGGTTTAGGGTTTAGGGTTTAGGGTTTAGGGGGAGCATCCCGATTCATATACCCTGAAATACAGACAGTATAGGGTATATGACCCCAATTTTAGGGTTCATTTGGTCCTCAAGGGAAGGGTCCATGCACCTCATGATTCTGTACAGTAAGATATGGAGACAGTAACGATAGGCTTGGTAACCCAGTAACCATATTATAATAACGCGCAAAGCTCACAGCCCGTCAGCAACTCCATGCCAACTCCCTTATAATAAGGGCACCCTTTTTTGGTTGGACAATTTACTTATAAGGGAACCTTGAACCAAAAAAAGGGAAAAGGGTACCACTGGGCTACCAAGATAGGGTACATGGCCCCAATGTTAGGGTTCGTGTTGGCCCTGAAGGAGGAACAGCATCCCGACAGTCTGCGCTCTGGATCGAACGAGTCTAGGGCTCAGGGTTTGGGGTTTAGGGTTTAGGCTGCAGGGTTTAGGGTTTAGGGTTTAGGGGGTCATCCCACAACTCTTGCTAAGAGTACCGGTGTTCGGGCCCGCTCACAAACCTTTGGAATTTGACAACAGGTACAGCACAGACTTCCCCTCAAGTTTCGGAGGAAGGCCGTAGCTCGACATTAGCGCGATGGCTTCGCCTTGTCGACAGAAGCGCTGGAAGTCGGCTTCTATGCCTTGGCATAAACCCTACACCCTAAACCCTGTAAACCCTATAAACCCTATAAACACTATAAACCCTATAAACCCTAAACCCTAAACCCTAAACCCTAAACCCTAAACCCTAAACCCTAAATCCTAAACCCTAAACCTGCCAAGATGCGTTCAAGAAGGTCAAGAACCAGCCTGTGCCCGACCAGCAAGTTTTCCCGCGTTTGACAGCTCCTCGGATGGCCCGAAGAAAAGACCCTGTGAAAAAAAAATCATGTTTAGGGTTTAGGGTTTAGGGTTTAGGGTTTAGGGTTTAGGGTTTAGGGTTTAGGGTTTAGGGTTTAGGGTTTAGGGTTTAGGGTTTAGGGTTTAGGGCCTTAAACCCCCAGAAGGGAACGTGCACAATCTCCCAAGGGCCTGCCGAGGCTCAGGTAGAGCTTCAAGTCCATGTCAGCCTCAGGGTCCAAACCCTAAACCCTAAACCCTAAACCCTAAACCCTAAACCCTAAACCCTAAACCCTAAACCCTAAACCCTACACCCTAAACCCTAAACCCTAAACCCTAAACCCTAAACCCTAAACCCTAAAGGCACATGGACTTTTAGGGTCAGCCTCAAAGCCATCCTTCTCAAGGAAGCGGCTGCCGCGTCCCCGCAGACGGACCTTGCCGCCACAGCTGTCGGCGATTGTCTTCATGTTGACCTTAGTTGCTGAGTTTAGGGTTTAGGGTTTAGGGTTTAGGGTTTAGGGTTTAGGGTTTAGGGTTTAGGGTTTAGGGTTTAGGGTTTAGGGTTTAGGGTTGGGGGTCTAGGGTCTAGGGTTCATAGGCCCCAAAAAGGTGTACACTTTCAGTTCCATGGGGGGGGGGTCAGAGTATCCCAAAAAGTGTAAAGTCTACTCACTCAGCTACTACGTGACACCCTTGCGCCCGTAGAGCTTGGGCACAAACTCGAACGCCGTTAGGATCTCGGGGTGTGGGGCGAACTCGTACCTTGCTGTTGGTTAGTAGGGAATGGGTTCAGGGTTTAGGGTTTAGGGTTTAGGGTTTAGGGTTTAGGGTTTAGGGTTTAGGGTTTAGGTTTTAGGTTTAGGGTTTAGAATTTGGGCTTTGGGTTTAGGGCATAGGGCCCTCATTCCGTCATTTCCTGCTATCCAACAGCAAGGTACGTGCACACGAAAGCCTTCTGCTTCTTCGAGATGTTAAAGTTCCTCGCGCACGGCTGCTCGAGATCACTGGAGGAACATGTGCTGGCGCTTGTGCAAGGTGAGCCCGAGGATCTCAGCTCCTGCACCTCTTGCATCCTCTTTTCGATCTGCCGGGCTTCCTTTATCTTCCCCCTTCGGTTCCCTTGCCTTCCCTCCCCCACCCCCCCCCCCAAGCTCATCACCAATCCGGGCACCAAAGGTGCCCTACTTGCCGGAGTCGTGGACAACATCACCATGGATGCCTGCACATGTCTAGGGGCTTCAGGGCCTTCAGGGTTTAGGGTTTTAGGGTTTGAGGGTTTGAGGGTTTCAGGATTTGAGGGCTTGAGGGTTTGAGGTTTTGGGTTTAGGGTATTTTAGGGTTCTAGGGTTCAGGGTTTTAGGGCTTTAGGGCATGAGGGTTTGAGGGTTTGAGGGCTTGAGGGTTTGAGGTTTAGGGTTTAGGGTATTTTAGGGTTCTAGGGTTTAGGGTTTTAGGGCTTGAGGGTTTCAGGGCTTGAGGGTTGAGGGCTTGAGGGCTTGAGGTCTGTAGCTTGTGCACCCTGAGGCCAAGGAAGGGCCTCCTTCAGGTTCTGCATGTTGGGCCGACAAGGCGCGCAGTCGACAACGGAGTCGTGTGAGTGCTGTACAAGACGAAGGCTACACGGAGAGACCCCCATGTCTCTCCTTGGTAGCCCAGTAAGCATATTCAAATGAGCGTTTAGGGTTTAGGGTTTAGGGTTCGGAGCCCAGTAGGCATATTCTAAGAAGGGCGCCCTTGTTTCTTTTTTTGTTGTTTGGGGAGGGGGGGGGAGGGCGCGTTGGTTACTTTACAGGGGAAACTAAAACCCCAAAAAAAGCAAAAGGGTAGCTAGTGCCACTGGGCTCTGCACCCTAAACCCTAGACCAGTAACCCTAAACCCTAAACCCTAAACCCTAAACCCTAAACCCTAAACCCTAAACCCTAAACCACCCTAAACCCTAAACCACCCTAAACCCTAAACCCTAAACCCTAAACCCTAATTCCTAAACCCTAAACCCTAAACCCCAAACCCCAAACCCTAGCCGCCCCACTCCAAGTCTCTGTGCTCGAAGCGCCCAGGTGACGTCGGGATTGACTCCTTCGAGGCCAGGCGGTGCACCCAGCAGAGGCGAGCATCGCCAAACGTCGAACATCTCGCCCTAAACCCTAAACCCTAAACCCAAAACCCTAAACCCTAAACCCTGGAAAACTCCATCAAGAAGCAGACCATGTCTGGAGAGGCCGTAAACCTTGAACTCCCGTCTAGACCCAAGAATAGCCCAGGAATCACTTGGGTGCCCTTGTTGGTCTAAAGGGGCTTTTTCTCAGGCCCAAAAGGTAGTAAGGGCCTACTCTTTAGGTCCTAGACCTATAAGAACGGCCTACTCTTTAGGTCCTAGACCTAAAACCCTGCGCAGGCTCACACTAATGGAGGTGCCAAAGCCTGTCGAACTAAGGCCGTTAACTGATTTGGCAGATGGCGTTCTTGACTTTGCTGGCCTGCCATACTTGACCTGTAAACCAATGGCCACAGGTCAAAAGTCTGCCAAAGATTGTGATCACAGGACATTTCTTGAAGAATAAGCCCTAAAAACCCTAAAAGCCAAAATTATGGACAGTCGCAGGGTTCAGGTTGAGGAGTTAGAGGTTAAGGGTTTCAGGTTTAGGCTTTGTCACATGATCCGTGCAAACCACCGCACGGTAGTAGCGCCCGCAGCTCGTTTAAGTTTAAGGTTTGGGATTCTGGGTTTAGGGTGTGGGGAGAACCCTGAACCCTTAAGCCCCCTTACGTACACTTCTAGGCGTTGTTTTCTTTTTGTTTTTTTTGCCGGGGCGGGGGGTTGGTGGGTTTGGGCTGTAGGTTTTCAGAAAGGGGGCGCTGTAGGGGCCCATTTTGCGGATTCTTAGTAGGACGAGGGAACCAGGTACCTTCTATCCCCAGATACCCCCCAAACCCAAAACACTGCAAGGGCTTCTACAGGGTACCTAGGCGTCGGAGGTGTTTAGAGTCTAGAGTCTAAACCCGAAATCCTAAACCCTGCACCCTAAACCCGAAACCCTACATCCAAGACCAATGAGGCCCCTGCTGTCCCAGCCAAAGCTCCATGCAGGACGACAGGGCCACCACCTCGGGGGGGGCTCGGGGGGGGGGGGGGGGGGGGGGGGGGGGGGGGGGGCCCAAAGCTCTACAGGGGTTTAGGGTTTAGGGTTTAGGGTTTAGGGTTTAGGGTTTCGGGTTTAGGGTTTAGGGTTTAGGGTTAGGGTTGAACCCTAGGGATTTAGGGTTTAAGGGTTTAGGGTTGAACCCTAGGGGTTTAGGGTTTAACCCTAGGGGTTTAGGGTTTAGAGTTCTCTACAGTTGGGCCACTTTCTAGCTCTCCCCTAGCGACCAAAAACTTAGAGAGCTGGACGGCGCATCGCTTGAGGTGGAAATGGCGTGGACCTGCTACAGGGTTTGTGGTTCAAGGAGTGCGCGGCTATCAAGGGAATATCCCAGGACAAGCCCCTAAACCCTAAACCCTAACCCTAAACCCTAAACCCCAAACCCTAAACACTTCACCCTACACCCTAAACCCTAAACCCTACACCCTACACCCTAAACCCTAAACCCTAAACCCCTGACATCATCAGGTTGAAGTGTGCGTCTTCGATTTCACGGGCAAGATCGGTCTCATGTAATATAGGGGTCGGAAGAATTACTGTAGTAGAAGCCCCAAGCCCTAAACCCTAAACCCTAAACCCTAAACCCCAAACCCTAAACCCTAAACCCAGAAGACCATTGGTCTGGTCCACTCAGGAACTATGGTTTTATACTCAGGCTCTATTGCAATAACATTCCCTATTGTCCCTTTGTACTTATACCATCATGATAATTGCTCGTATTCCCTTATGGCCCCTTGGTAATCATACTAAAATAACCCCCAAGACCCTATTCTGATTATTCAGGCCTCTATGTTACTCGTACATCGGCTCTTTCGAAGACAGGTACGCTATCAGGCTAGGGCCCAACGTCGTGCAGGAGTACTCGTACCTGGTTCCAAGTTTCCGGCGCGGTGTCACGCTCGATCTCCCGTTCAGGACGCTAAACCCAAAACCCAAAACCCAAAACCCAAAACCCTAAACCATGGGATAGGGTATCAGGAAAAAAACTTAACGACTCCGCACGGAGATGGACAGACTCATGAGGCCTCTTTCATATCTTTCGTCCTTGGGCCAACCCGTGGACAAACCCCGTTTAACAAAACTTAGGGGTTTGGGGTTTAGGGCTTAGACACCCTTTTTTTCCAACAGAGGGGCTCTAGTGTGATGTAGGGATGTGGGTCGTTTGGGGCTGAGGGTCCAGGGTGTAAGGTCCAGGGTTTAGGGTTTAGGGTTTAGGGTTTAGGGTTCAGGGTTTAGGGTTTAGGGTTTAGGGTTTAGGGTTTAGGGTTTAGGGCTTAGGGCTTAGGGATGCCCTACTGTCCAGCCATGGAGCCACGACTACAGCACATGGGAGCAGCACTGCTTCCCAAAACCTGCGCAAGGAAGGATTTGGGGTTTAGGGTTTAGGGTTTAGGGTTTAGGGTTTAGGGTTTAGGGTTTAGGGTTTAGGGTTTAGGGTTTAGGGTTGGGAAGGGCTTAGGGTTACAACTCAATGTTTAGGGTACAGGGTTTAGGGTTCGGGGTCTGGGGTTTAGGGTTGGGGATTTAAGGTTTAGGGTTTGCAGGAATTAGGGTTTGGGGTGTAGGGTACATCCTCCAAGGCGCTTGCGCTTCGGTTTAGGGTTTAGGGTTTAGGGTTTAGGGGTTTAGGGGTTTAGGGGTTTAGGGTTTAGGGTTTAGGGTTTAGGGTTCAGGGGGCACGCGGCGATCGCCACGTTCAGATGTGCCAGCAAGGTTACTCCGGTGCAGCTGCACCATCAAGCCTGCGAGGCCCTAAGGCCCTAAGCCCCTAAGCCCCAAACCGAAAACCCTAAACCCTAAACCCTAAACCCTAACCCCTAAACCCTAAACCCTGAACCTGAAACCCCGAAGTTCCACGAAGGCCACATAAAAGCTTCCTCAGCAAGTCTAGTCTTCGGGCTGTGGCGCCGGGGGGCAGATCTCTGGAGTGTATGGCTTAGGGCTTACTTGGAGGTTCATGGTACCTACTAACCAAGTAGAACTGTGTTTATAACTGTACTTATAACCATATTAGGTCGCTCAAGGGGGCTTACAAGCACCATGAACCTCCAAAAGAGGCTTTAGGCGTTGGGGCTTAGGATTGCTCCTTAGGGACCCCGAGCCTACTTTAGGCAGATAAGCTAAGAATCCAACCAGGGGTTCTATAGTGAGAACCTACAAGGTTTAGGGTTTAGGGTTTAGGGTTTAGGGTTTACAGTTCGCAGGGTAGGGTTCAATGAAGGCTTAGGCAGCACGATGAAGGGTAGAGGGTTCAGGGCTCTGAGGTCCCGAGGGAGGGTTTAGGGGTTAGGGGTTAGGGTTTAGGGTTTAGGGTTTAGGGTTTAGGGTTTAGGGTTTAGGGTTTAGGGCTACCTCAAGACTCTATTGCCTTCATTTTCGGGGCTTCAGCATCGTACTACTGTACTGGCACCCTCAGAACGCTTAACCCCAAACCCTAAACTCAAAACCCCTAAAAGCAACTCTGTCAGGGTCTTTAATGTGCGGCTTCGCGGCCTGAGTCCTACGCTGCTTGGAGTACTTATAACCCCAATTCTAGGTCTACTTATAACCTGCTTAGGGGGACTCAGGGGAGCTTAAACCCTAAACCCTAAACCCTAAACCCTAAACCCTAAACCCTAAAC